CCATTACCAAATTTAAAGAGAATGAGAGTTTTTGGTGACATCACAACAAATCCATATTCACATCACGTATATTTAAGGTTCCACAATTATTCTTTAAAACAATAGTCTAGTGTTTAAACTTAATAAAATAGTATTCACTATGACTGGTTTTTAGATAATTATACCATACACCACAGGCTCCCTTGCTATTGTTAAATAAACGTAGTCCTCAAGGCAGAGTTGGAACCAACAGAATATTGTTGGAACAAGGGAGACGCTTGGGGCAGGACAATCACGCTCTCACACTCACAACCAAAATAAAGGGACTGGTAGACAGAATATCTCCTTGTGGTTCGCATTCGCGGCACTGCAGAGGTTAATTTAGACCGCCCAATAATGATCCTGCCACAGCGGCCTCTACATCAATCATGAGAAGTATTGTATCTGGTAAAACAAATTGTGTATATGATCGTAGTGACCATTATAAATTGTGTTCACGGTGTGCCGGTTATGATATACCAACAGACCAAAACCAGGGTAAGCCTGGGTTTTACTATTACTATTGTTTCCTTCTTATATAACTCATTTGTGAATGCAGTTGAGTTCTCTGTAATTTATTCACAGGGGTGTGGTTCAATGGAGAAAGTTACTGAGAAGCTGAGCACCAGCATAACCTGTGATGATTTCATACACTAGCTGCTCCACAGACGCTATGAGTGCCAGCCGCCATTACATGGCACAACTAGACTACATGTGCCACTCCCTAATTTGATGTTGGAACTGCCTATCAGGCCATATCCACCACACAGCCGAGGCACACTAAGTTGAATACTAATATAATTATAAGATAGAGTAGTACTAACCACTGTAGTTGTTGTTGTATTTGTTTTAGATACAGCTACTCGGAACAAAAGTTCCAAAGTAGCACGGGCTATGGTGAGCCCATAGTGGACTTACCTGGCACAGGAACGGGGCTGAAACTGTGCAACAGTAGTCTATTTACCACCATATGTGGTATAATTTATATAACTTTAAGGTAATGTGTATAGCTTATTATATAACCATTTATTGTGGTATAAGCTGTACACATCCCACAAACTATGTGCAGGTAAATTCTGGCAGGATGAATCTAACATACAGTCCACTTAGAATAATAATTCAATATTGAAGTAAACTAAAAAATAATCAAATGAAAATTAGAAAATAAATAATCAGCACATAATCCCTGCTAGGATTACCGCACAACTTGTTCTCCTGAATAGTATATCTCACTTTGACGTATAATTTCCCTAAGGCCAAAAATGGAGACGGCTCGCGAAATTCACGATGTCTCGTTTTCTGTTATGAATGAACCGCTGTGCTCGGGGTCAGCTCGTCCTCCTAAGGTTTCCCAACGTCAAGAAACAGTCAAATTAAAGTGTCCTCTCCTAACCTACTAGAGGACCCAAAACAGAACACGGGACAGCACGTCACTTTTGTGAGCTGCTTCCATTTTCTAGTACGACCATTTGTAGCCTTATGTAACGCATACGAGCGAAATTCGACATTCTTTGTAAAGGATAGATTGGTGTGGAAGTGAAGTCACACCACCTACCTGAATTAGTCAAAATACGCCAAAAAAATATAATTAAATATATAAAAAAGATGCAAAAGCTATAATAAAATTAACAGATAACATATAAAATGTCGTTACTAAATTTGTTACGAATTAAAATACGTCAGACTTACTGACCTTCTGTGATGAGCTGGCCGAGGACTCTGGCTGTCTCCAGCATTTGGGCGGTGCCGCTGGAGGGGTCAGCGGCCCCGTACCCCCAGGCGTCACGGTGGTTCCCCAACAGCACGTAGCGGTCTGTTAATATCACATTCCTCGTCACTACCACCCAAACTAACTTACTACTAATCTCAACAGTTATTAAATGAGACTCAACTCCTGTAAAGTGAATTAAAGTTTGCAATTGGAGACAAACTCAACTCACCAGGCTCCACGTCTCCCCTGATGGTGGCGATAACGTTGTAGGAGCGGTGAACCTGCAGGGTATTGTGGGTGTTGAGTCTGAGGCGGTAGGAACGGTACTGGTCCAGGAGCTCCGGCCCCAGGTTATACGCCACGCCCGTCAGGCCGCCCTTCCACGCCCCCGGGGCCGGGGCACCACCTATCTTCCTGTAGGAGAGAGAGTTAATTGATCTAATTGTCTTGACACCACACAGCCCATCCTCCTAAGGTTTCCCTATGTCAAGAAACTGTCGAACTAAAGTGCCCTTATTCTAATCTACCAGAGGACCCAAAACAGAAAACGGGACAGTTTGTCAATTTCGCGAGCAGTTACCATTTTCTAGTACGACCATATTTGACCTTAGGTGAAGTATACGTCACAATGCGACGTTCTATTAGCAGGACAGGTTGCTTCAGGACCCCTAGAGATAAGACTTAAACATATCAAGTACTTATTCAAATGTAATAAGATTCAGTAGTTAAGGATTGACAGGAAAAATAAAGCTATCCATTCGCCTCACCCAACATCAGTCCCGGGGTGCAAACTGTTACGAACCTTACCTCCTGTGGAGGTTGGTTTCGGTTGTAAAATGTTGGTGGACACAGGGAGAGTGTTTATTAGTATAAATCCCCAGGTGACATCAGAGAGTCACCATTATTACTCCGCCCAGTAAAGTAGTGCCTTCTCAGCTGGAGATCATCAGAAATAATGTGAACTTGAAAAGCTTAACTATGTAAGGGAAAAATGGACTCTATTAAAAAGTATGCCTGGGGAATATAGTAAATAAAGTCATTAATGTGTTTGATAGCATACGTAAAGAATAGAGTATTAAGGGGCGATGATGCTAGAGAGGTGGACGCCATTTTGACTGAAGGGGGAGGTGTATCGCTGTCGACCGTTCCTGCTATTTGAGGGGTTTTCTCCAGCCGTTCAGTCAGATAAGCCTATCCTTGTCTATATCCAGGGTTGCAAGATTGGGTAGAGTATTATTATAGAAGTTGGAGAGGTTTTATAAGAGTCCAGGTTTCCTAGAGGCAAAAATATATGTCGTTGGATGATAGCGGTTTGTGGCTGGGTGCATGACACCAGGAATGGGACAGTGACCCGTGGGGTGATCAGAGCCACTTGAGTTTATAATACATAGTGATTTTATGTTGTTAGGAAAACGCCTTGTTAAATGTAATCCTGTGTGACTTGTACGTATAAATTTGTGACTTGTGTACTAGGCTGTTTCTCTTACTCCTCATACTCCCTAGACAACATTGTAAGGACCATCACCACCAAATACTCACTAGCTCTCTATGACAACAAAAACGTATCACTGCTGATAACATCAGTAAGACCAGGCCCCGTGATACAAACGTCCCGTTGCTGTAGCTACCCCTAACCCTAACGCAGCAACACCAGTCCAGGGGTGCAAACGTCCCATTGCTGTAGCTACCCCTAACCTTACAGCAACAACACCAGTCCCGGGGTGCATCTCCCCGGGACTGGTGGTTTTGCTGTAGCTACCCCTAACCCTACAGCAGCAACACCAGTCCCGGGGTGCAAACGACCCGTTGCTGTAGCTACCCCTAACAACACCACCAGTTACAGCAACACAGCACCACCAGTCATACTCCAGAAGAACTCGAGCGTCGTTGTAGCCTATGGGCTGGCAGGGGATCTTCGGCAGCTTGGCGTCCTCTATCTTAAGTCTGTAGGCGTGAGCTGTGGGCAAGACACGAGTGTTGAACAACAAGCAGTAACTGATGACTAGTGATGATATTGTTCATGATCGCTATTGATGATGATGATTAGTGAGGGATTAACAGTGATAAATGATGTCATTATCAATATGATAAATATAATGATGAACGAGTGATTAATGATAATAATTATGATTATTTTTGAAGTTTGTGATTACTGATGACTACTTGAATTGAAATAATGTATGATTGATGATGATAATTATTAACAACTGATGATTGTTACGAATCTTACTAGGATTCTAACATTACTCTTGATGCTTATATACTCTATTGTCTTGTTCTACAATTAATATAGCATCCAGTTGTATGATATTAGACTATTGTATGTTATATATTGTAGCACGCTGTGGTGTGCCTGAGTTGCATTATATTGTGTGAGGTTTTTTTGTGCAAGTATTTTCATGTTGGTTTCTTCCATGTGGGGGGATGACCATATTTGGATGTGGCCAGTGTGGGAGCTTTATGTCAAGCGAGTGGTTATAGTTCAACCTTGATTAATTCTTATTATTGTTTGCCAGTAAATTATATTGAACAATGTAACAGTATTAAATACTTTTAAGATTAATAATGATTTGAATATTAGTACTACATTTTGTTAGTAGAATTTCCACAATAGTTATGTGGATGTTTAGTTGATATTGTGGTAGAACGCCTGCCCTGGGAACCGACGCTTGGTCAGAGGCGTGGCAGCTTTGGACGAGAAGAGACATGTTTTTAAGTTAAGTCTGTGGTTATTGTTTTTTTAGCTAAATACTCGGTTAATTCTCTGTTTAGATGATTGTGTATTATCCCAATTAATAATTCATGTGCTGGTGATATTGCTCATTGCTCAATAAGGATTTTTATTTATATTATTGCATGCTGAAGAATATTTCTGGCTATTATATTTGTCATTTAATTGTTATGTTTGTCACCCTTAGCGTAGATATATTGTTTTCCCAATTTATGCAGCGTTTTTCTTTTACCCGGGAGGGTAAAAGAGGGAGAGGGAGCAGGTCGGCCGAGCGGACAGCACGCGGGACTTGTGATCCTGTGGTCCTGGGTTCGATCCCAGGAGCCGGCGAGAAACAATGGGCAGAGTTTCTTTCACCCTATGCCCCTGTTACCTAGCAGTAAAATAGGTACCTGGGTGTTAGTCAGCTGTCACGGGCTGCTTCCTGGGGGTGGAGGCCTGGTCGAGGACCGGGCCGCGGGGACACTAAAAGGCCCCGAAATCATCTCAAGATAACCTACCCCTAGACACCTGTTGGCAAGGCCGGTATAATATATATTGATTACTGTGTGAAAAGAACCGTACTAAGTCTCAGGGGTTCTAACAATGATAAATTCTAATTGCTGGTGACAATTTATGACGATATACAGCAAAACTAACACACACATGAAGATATTAATCAAGTTAAATATAGAGTATATTAAGAGAATAAGAGACGAAAATGGTGAGACAAGAAACATGGAGTGACGAGACACACACAGGGAGACAAGAGAAAGAGGCAGACGGAGACAAAGAGGCCTCTAGGGCCGTACCTGTAGAAGGCCAGCCAGGTGTGAGTAAGTCACCCATCAAGTTCGTGGTTCCTCTCTGCATGCCGGTGCCAGGAAGCCACCAGGTGTTGGGGTACACCTTCTCGGGCTCCACTCCCTCCTGGGCCACATCCTCGGGGTCCGAGAACAGGATCAAACCCTTGGCTCCTCGCTCCTGGGCGTGCAGCAGCTGAGTGGGAGGGAGGAAATTATCAGGGGAAGGCGCCAAGCCATTACGACTATTACGACCCCAAACAACTGGATGGGGTCAGGATAAAGATTTGGGATGGAACGGAGGGAAAGGAATGGTACCCAACCATTTGGACGGACGGGGATTGAACGCCAACCTGCATGAAGTAAGACCGCCGCTCTACCGTCCAGCACAAGTGGTTGGGCACTGGGTGTATTAGGACAGATTTCAGATGACTCGGGTGTATACAAGACTTCTTGGTTGACAAGCAATGGTACACAAGACTACCTGATTGACAAATACCTCAATGACCTTCCAGAGGTTGAAACACTAAGTCCAACACTAATCAAGCAGCCCTAGGAATATTATTTATTGCACATGCATATAACCACCTTGAGAGCTGCTAAAAACAATAAATTATTGAAATTTCAACATTATTTTTAAAATGTTTCAAGATACTGAAAATACCAGAAAGTATGATTTCAGCGCCGACCTTGTTGCCTCTGAAGATCTTGCCATAGCGAGCGATGACGATGCAGCCAGAGACGTTGACGTTGAGCTTCTCCAGCGTGTCGAAGTCCTCAACCCTGGCGTAGTTAGCGTACACGACGCCTCGCCCGGCCTCAGACTCCACGTCCCCTGGGGGAGAGGCCAGAGGCTCACCACCATATCTTAACACTTCTCTCTCTCAACCACTGTACTCTTACTGAGCAAGACGGCTTTTATATTACAATTTATACTTAGTGAAAGTCTATATCATAATGTTTTCATTCTGAATATAAACACAATAACCAGCTTCCCTAGCACCCACTCGCCACCTGCCCCAGCACCCACTCACCACCTGCCCCAGCACCCACTCACCACCTGCCTCAGCACCCACCTGCAGGCGTGTAGGCATTGAAGGCGTGGACGAACTCCGGGTCGTCATCATCCTGCTGCAGCGGGGTCTCCGTGTAGGCGCTTGTGAAGACAACTTCGCCATCACCGTCAATAAGGGTGATCTGTAACAACACACCTTGGCCTGTATTACAGCTTTATACATGTATAATATCTAAGTATAATTTAGTGCTAAGTATTTACAAGTAATAGATCTATGGTAAAAAAAAATGGTAATTTAAAATTGAAATGTACGAAAGAATTAATTACAAAATAGAAATGCAGTTGAAAATTAAAAGTAATATGGCGATAGCGTGACAATATTGTTCTTTATTTTAAATACAACCCGTCCTCACACTAGGCTGTTTAAAGCAGCGGCCGTTCTCCCCAGACACATTTGTGGAAAATTTCCACCATACCAGTATAATAAATTAAGAAATGGATTATTTCTAAATCATACATCTGACTCCTACATCAGAATCATACATCTGGAGCCTTCATGACAACACCACAATGGTGACGTCCGCCATTAGGACTATGGATGCCTTTGCTCATGTACCTTCAAGGATCTAGAAGGTTAAAAAAAAAGCTGTCTTAATTGAAATACCATTGGAACATGATTTGGGTTTCCGGTGATGTATTTTCAAGTCCTAAATAAAAAATATATTTGTACTATAAGTACTACCTATAATCATTAAATCCTATATACATTAACCCTATAGTCCCACTTTATCTCAATAATCTGTCTAGACAATAAAAATAATCGATATTTATTGTCGCCCACCCTCATTGGGAGATAGGTAGCCGTCGCCTGGGCAAGTAACCGAACGGGGCCAAAACCCATTGTTTCCAGAGTGAACAGGTGATGGTGCTTGAGACTTTCAGCAGGACCAGAACCACACAAACTAATCTTAATTCCCAGTGATAATTCGCTGCAATAACTCCTTAAGATACTCAGGGAGGTGTTGAACTATAAATCAGATCAAATTACTGATACATTTATCAAAATACAGTGTGTGGAGTGGTACACCTACAGCACATGTGGTCGCTCTCCACCACCACTTATAACCGACTCCTCACCTTGCCACCAGTGGCTAACCAGCATATATACATTTTCTTCTGTCCTCCATGGACAGGGTGAGAGATCTGTTAAACATATAGTTCAAGGATTTGTTGAACAATCAACCACAGAAGGTGATTGTATAGTGCTTTTAAAATGCTAATCTAACCTACATATGTAAATACATAGAAACACAGTTACGTCTGCCCTACATTAAGTAGTCGATGTGTTCTTTACATAGTATCATTAATGTGCATTTGCAAAAGGGAAATGTAATTCTGATCAGCTTCCACATATACTTTATACACATACACATATACATATATACATACATACACATATATTTATGGCTCTCCTACTCTGAGAGGGGTAAGATAGCGGATAGAGAAACTAGTTTGTTATTAAGCACTTAACCACTGAAGGTGATTAAGATGCTATTATATAGGAATGACAATATATATATATATATATATATATATATATATATATATATATATATATATATATATATATATATATATATATATATATATATACTCATATATATATATATATATATAAAATATATATATATATTATATATATTATATATTATATATATTATATTATATTATATATATTATATATATATATATATATATATATATATATTATTAAATATGGTTATATAGTTACATCACATACATTGTATATTTGATACATTATTACATGGTCAATCTTGGGTACAAGTCCAATATAACATCAAGTGTTCCAGTATTAATATAGTAGGTACAGAGTTCAGCATACCTCAGCCCAGGAGGTACAGCGATAGCAGGCGGCTTGACGTTTGCGAGGCACTACACATCAAGAAGTCAACACCAGCAATCAACAGCCAATTATTGCACAACTATATTCTACCCACCTCAAGACTCCGCTCCAATATAGAAGCATCAAGAAATATGGACCAATAGGCTTTCTACAAACACTTCTATTCAATACCCATTGTTTCTGTTCTGTCTTGTGTTGATACTTTTAATACCCTATTAATATCCCCTCCTGTTCTGTCTTGTGTTAATGCCACATCACCCTTCCCACCTCACTCAAATGTAGATATAATATCAGAGAGACGTAAGTTCTAATCAGTTGTGTATTTGTGAAGTCTTTGAAAATGTAATAAGTTTTACGAAACGCGCCCGTGTCGCGTCAGACTAGAAATAAAAATGAATTTTGGAGAAGTGATTTTTGATTTACCTCCAACAGTGAAGCGTAATGTACGAAAGATTGAGAAAATTCGTGTTAGAATTATTAATCTTACTTTTTCAAGTCCAATATATCATCAAGTGTTCCAGTGTTTATATAGTATTACAGAATTCAGCTTACCTCAGCCCAGGAGGGCGAAAGTCAATCAATACGGGACATACTACAATATAATGTTCAAGGGAGTGCATGTTTTCTCTTTCACAAAGTTGGCACATTGTGTACTCGATATTTGCGTTTTGAGAAAGCTGCCAAATACGTCTATATCCCAGGCGTATTCTGGCTAATATAACATCACATTGCCGAGTTCTTGCTCTATTAGTCCCATATGTGAATGTCTCCTCACGATATCTATCATAATATTTAATGCTACAACTTTCATGTCTTTGTGAATTTGTTAGGTTGGTGAGATTTTCATTAGATATTTGTTTAAGTATTCTCTTTGTCACTGCTAATGAAACACCCATATCAATTTCTACCACTGCTTTTCTAAAGGCTGTCTTTGCAAGCATATCAACAGTGGCATGCGTTCAATGCCAGGAGTGGACTCTGCGAGTCACAGTATATAAGTCTACTGCCTTTGTCTTAAAAATTCAGTGGCAAGGTATATGCCTGCAAGTTCGGTTTGAGTTGTACTTGTCCAGTCATTGACGCGCTTCATTGCTATATGTACGAGAGAAGATTGTTCAAATATATTACATGCGCATCCGGTACATCATCCACCTTCTACAGAACCGTCGGTATAGCACTGATACACATCGTTACCCATACCTTGAGTACTCTCAGTGATGTTGTTCAGTGTTAACTGTTTTAATAATGTAGAGTGTACACTATCTTTCTTGGGTACATTTACAAAATCAACTGATAGATCCTAGTTATCCCATGGAGTAATTGGCTGATTAATCATTAATTTAGTTGGGTACATATTTAATATTTTGGTGGAGTTGGCTACCTTGTAGAACCAAAGTGCATAATTAGATTTTGCTTTTCTATTATAGACCTCAGGTGAGTGTAGCGTATAAGAAAGTTTAGCTTGAAACTTCATGTGCTGCCGAGATCTATTCAATGCCTTCACGCCGAAAACTGTTCTAATAGTCAAAATTCTTTCACTTATGGTACGTAATTTTAACTCTGCTCTCATATTAACTATTCTCGTGGACTTTGGAGCCCCAAAGATGAGACGCATAGCTTCATTTTGCAAGGTTTCAAGAGATTTCAGCTCTTTGTCTGTATACAGTGTGAGATGTAGAGGATTGTAGTTAATCACAGAGCGTATAAATGATACATAAAACATTCTAGCAAGTCTCATGTTAATTCCATGATTGACATCAATAAGGACCCGCAAGGGCTTTAATATCTTCCATAGTCTCCTCTTGAGAGAAGAAAGGCACTCAGGGTCGTTAATGGGGACACCAAGGTATCTAGGTATCTGTAAGACTCGCAGTTCTCAACTGCTCGCCCATCTATATGAGAATTGGGTGGTGGAATACCACACGGAATGAGGGCACGAGTTTTCTGTACAGAGATAAAGAGGCCACATTCCTCAGCTCTAGTAGCAAAAGAATGGAAGGGTGTCTGGAATGGTACCCGAACCATGGCAATGCGCCTGAAGGACCTCATCCCGCCATCACTCCAGCTTCTGAGCTTCACGGTGCAGGTGTTCTATGTGAGCCAGCCCTGGACTTGCTTCCAGTGTGGTTTGTTGGGGCACCTGGCTGCGAGTTGTGGTGCTGGCAGTTTATGCCCCATTAACCTGTTCCGGGAGGAGGACTTCCCGCCGCTGGAGGTCCTGGACCGTCTTTGTGTGATGTTGTTGTGGATGTTGTCCCTCGCTCTTCGGATGACCCGGTGGAGACGCCAGACACTATGGGGGTCGAGCCCGAGAGCTGTGCGGTTCTTGTGGTTCTCGCCCCGCCGCCTCTGCTCCGGCCTGCTCAGTCTATGGAAGGTGTGTCTTCGGAGTGTGTCCTCGTCGATGTGTATGCGGAGCTGTCTCCAGTGGTGTGCTGTCATGTTCCCCCGGTCGTTGAGGCTGCGGGTTTGCATGATCATGCAATACGTGATGTTGCGCGGCCGCCCAGTAGTTCTGCTGCAATGCCTCCTGGAGGGTGTGGTAGTTTCGGCGATCTACGCCCGGTCTCTAAGCGTTTGAGGCGGTCTCGGAGTGTGTCTCCATCATGGTGTGGCCTGGGCCAACGTGCAGGACTATGGGGACCCCGGGAGTTGTTCTGTGGATAACGATGATGGTGTGCAGGAGGCTGGTGTGCTCCAGGTTCGTGGCAAGGTAGTGTTGGTAGCTGTTACTCTTGTCATGGGGGAGGGGGCTTGTGTGGGGGCATTGGTTCCTGCTTCTGCTTCCTCGCCTGCATCCCCGTGTTCCAGTTCGCCGGCGGAACTGGGCCTTTGTAGAAAGTCTGTGGGGGGAGGGGGGGGGGGGGTTATGTTTGTGGCCATCACCAGGTTGGGGTTGGGCTCAAATTAGTACTCACCAGGTTGGGGTTGATGTGGTTGGGACCAGAGGAGTACTCACCAGGTTGGGGTTGATGTGGTTGGGACCAGAGGAGTACTCACCAGGTTGGGGTTTGTGTGGTTGGGACCAGAAGAGTACTCACCAGGTTGGGGTTGATGTGGTTGGGACCAGAGGAGTACTCACCAGGTTGGGGTTGATGTGGTTGGGACCAGAGGAGTACTCACCAGGTTGGGGTTTGTGTGGTTGGGACCAGAAGAGTACTCACCAGGTTGGGGTTGATGTGGTTGGGACCAGAGGAGTACTCACCAGGTTGGGGTTGATGTGGTTGGGACCAGAGGAGTACTCACTAGGTTGGGGTTGGTGTGGTTGGGGCGAGAGAGAAGGACATCATAAGGAACAAGATCAGCAGTGTCGAAGCCCTCCTTCAGGAAGCGATCTCGAATCATGTTAGCGAGCTGGTCGTCCCTCTCAGTGCCGGCCAGGTGGGGCCGCCTGCTCAGCTCTCTGCAATACACAAGAATTAGAAGAAACCAGGATTACCACATACAAGTCTGTGGGTGATTAATGGGCTACATAAAGAATTATTATTTAACACGGATGGTACTCGCCAAAGAAGACTAAAGTGGAAACTGAGAACCCAAATGAGCCACAAAGACATTAGAAATAATTATTTATTACATTAGAGTAGTTAAGAAATAGGATGTCCTAAGCAGTGATGTGGTAGAGGCAAACATCATTCACAGTTTCAAATGTATATATGATACGTTCAATTGATTGACAGTTGAGAGGTGGGACCAAAGAGCAGAAGTTCAACTCCTGCAAGCACAAGTAAGCACAACACAACACTTGTTCTTCATAACAGAAACCTCCACTCACTCACAAGTACAACACGCATCTCCAGCTACGGTGCGAACATTCCTCACAACAATGACACTGACCACAACAATGAAGTCACTTGACAGCTACAACAATCACATCGGCCCCACACCTTTTGCTATATACATACATATGTGTTGCTGTGGACCACTGGGTGTGCTGCTTCCTTTATTTCCATCGTTAAAGATGCAGTACGGCATCGAAAATTTTGTATACGCATATTCGTTAACGACGCAGTATGGCGTCAAAAATTTAAAAAATTGGCCTGCTTTCGTACTTGGATGTGGGAGGGGCACGCCGCGGTTTTGGACATTATATGCCCATACTCCTACAGGGAATTTAATTGAAAATATATTGATACCAAAATGAAAGACCTAAGGCGAAAATTGAGATAACAAAGTTGAAAAGAGTATACACATTTTATTGTTCATGATGAGCGCTCATGGGGGTAATGCGCTGTCACTTTCTCTGTTTGCTGTGGGGATTACGCCGGGCGTTTGGAATTTATATGCATCTAATCCTGTAGAGAATTCTATTGCAAACACATTGATATGAAATTGAAAAACCTTTGGACGAGAATTGAGATGACAAAGTTGAAAAGAGTCTAAACATTCAGTATTACTACGCGCTCCCGTGGAATGCCAGGCGCACCTTGGGATGGCGCCAGCGCTCTCTTGCCCAAAACACGAAAATGTACCCACAAACCAATCACAATCTGGGTTACAAAATATCTTAGGATTCCGTTCATTCACAGCATAAGTCAAGGCAGCAAATCACATTAGAATGAATGGCAAAAGACTGCCACCTAGGCTATATATATATTAATATATATATATATATATATATATATATATATATATATATATATATATATATATATATATATATATATATATATATATATATATATATATATATATACATACACACACACATATATATATATATATATATATATATATATATATATATATATATATATATATATATATATATATATATAACTGAAAACTCACACCCCAGAAGTGACTCGAACCCATACTCCCAGGAGCAATGCAACTGGAATGTACAAGACGCCTTAATCCACTCCTCACGACCGGACTAATGAGGTGATAGCCGAGGCTATTTGAACCACCCCACTGACCGCCGGCACTCGGATAGTAATTCACCTCATTCTTTGGGGCACACGTGAGGAACACAAATGCGAACAATAATGAATGGTCCCCAGGACAATAATTAAACTTAAAACTAACCCCAGAAGTAATTGAGGAAATCCACTAGGGCAATGAGGTGGTCGCAAACCTACGACCTTGTCATTGAGGTGAAGCAGCATACTCGACCACCTCGAACCCATACTCCCAGGAGCAATGCAACTGGAATGTACAAGACGCCTTAATCCACTTGACCATCACGACCGGACATAATGAGGTGATAGCCGAGGCTATTTGAACCACCCCACCGCCGGCACTCGGATAGTAATCTTGGGCATAGCGTTTTACCAAATCACCTCATTCTTTGGGGCACACGTGAGGAACACAAATGCGAACAAGCCTGAATGGTCCCCAGGACAATATGCAACTGAAAACTCACACCCCAGAAGTGACTCGAACCCATACTCCCAGGAGCAATGCAACTGGAATGTACAAGACGCCTTAATCCACTTGACCATCACGACCGGACATAATGAGGTGATAGCCGAGGCTATTTGAACCACCCCACCGCCGGCACTCCGAGTGCCGGCGGTGGGGTGGTTCAAATAGCCTCGGCTATCACCTCATTATGTCCGGTCGTGATGGTCAAGTGGATTAAGGCGTCTTGTACATTCCAGTTGCATTGCTCCTGGAGTATGGGTTCGAGTCACTTCTGGGGTGTGAGAGTTGCGCCCTGGTGGCCATGGGGTACGGTTGTTTCGCCTGCCCCTCCATTTGTTGACAACTCAGCGTGAAATGCGGGCCTTGGTGTGGCTGCTGACTATGCCTGAGTGACGTGCCTTATCGAGGGGCCCCCGTGGCCGTGTTGGCCTCAAGTATGGGGTGCCTGTGCTCTCTGTCGTCAGGCAGGACTCTATTGGCCTGGAATTTTCCGGCCAATAGAGTCGCTCCCTACCCGGCAGTGGAAGTGATGATTCTGGATACGTAACGTGTTCCTGTAGAGGCCGTGTGTGGTGTGCAGCTGCTTGCTGAGAGGCGGGCGATTGTGAAGTTCGGCTCCTCGGTGGTTTACCGTGATCTTTTCGGGCGCGATGATGGGTGTTCCTTCACTCTTCCTGGCGAGGTGGATTCGTGACTATCTCCGATCGCTATGGTACGACGACGTATGTGGCAGTGTATGGGGTGCCCTTCGAGTTCCCTGCAGATCTCCTTTGTCGGTACTTTGCCCGTTCTGGGCAGGTACTTCATGTGCAGATGAATGCCGCCTCCTCCTGGAGGTGAAAGGGTGTCCCATGTGGTACCCGCACTTTCGCCATGGGCCTCAAGGGTAATATTCCGTCCTCCGTTATGCTGCTGGGTTACCCTGTTCATGTGTTTCATACGGGCCAGCCCTGGACGTGTTTCCGGTGTGGCCTATCGGAACAACAGGCTGCGAAGTGCGCCAGGTTACCCCTATTAATCTCTTTCGGGAGGAGGATTTTCCCCTGTTGTCGGCCCCGGACCAGTCTCCAGGTGCTGGTGTGATGTGTGTTGATTCCCAGCCATCTGGTGTCCCATTGTCGGATTCTGCAGCGCGCCTGAATGCGGATGTGGGTGGTGGTGTGGGTACCAACGTGGTCTGTGGTGCCCCCCTCCCTCCATCGCCCCAGCTGCTGGATTCCCCGCCTCAGCCGTCTCTGCCCCCGCTGTCCCAGCCCACCCCTGACTGCTCTGTCCCCGGATATGATGTCTCCTGTTGCTCTGGCAGTCCGCGAGGGGCTGTCTCCTGTGGTGTGTGGTCTAGCATCCCCGATTGTGGAAGCTGTGGTTCTGAGGGGTCGTGCTTTACAGGCGAGCCTGTTGAGGGGGTTTGTTGTGGTGAAGGATGATGAGAGTGATAGCTTGGACGACCGGCGGCCTGTCTCAAAGTGATCGAGGTGGGTTCAGGGTGTGTCTCTCCTTCGTGGTGAGCCTTGGGTGGAGGTGGAGTAATTTGGTGCTCCGGCGTCCCCCACTGTAGGTGACGGGGCTGTTAGGGCTCAGCGTTGCTTTCTGTGCCCCCCCTTCCTGTGACTCCTGCTGTTGCCCCTGATGATCGGGACCTCGTCATGGTGCTGAGTAAGGATGTGCGCTGGGGGGGGGGGGGGCCTCGGCTCCTGTGCCTGGTGGCAGGGACCATGGCATGCCTGCGTCCCCTGCGGTTTCCCTCACTGTGGTGCCCTGTTCTGAGGGAAGCTTTGTCATGGCTTCTGGGGACGTGATCTGTTAGGGTCAGATGTTGGAACACTCTCGGAATGACCGGGTGCGTCCGATCCCATGATGCTCTTACACTATCTGGGTGCTACGGGTGAGGGCGTTTATTTATTGGGTGCCGGATTTGATGCCTCAACCTTGGGCGCCACCTGGTGGCTGGGTAACTGATGACGCTATGAAGATTTGGGAAGTGTACTGCTTGCGCTTTCTGGCACAGGCGTTCCCAGCTGGGAATATGCATAGTGCTTGTGCTTGCTTTATGTATTCCATGTCCTTGTGTACTTGATGCCTTGTCTTATGTGCTTCCGTCATGTGTCCAGTTTTGGCTTGCCCCATCTGGGTGTTGCGTTTTGTTTGTAATGTACTGTTTTATTTCCTGTTCTCTTTCATCTGTTGTTTCCTGTGTTATACTTATTATGTTGTCGTTTCTATGTCTCTTATTGGGATTTTCCGTTTGGTGTGTAATTGTTTTGTATGCAGGGTTTCTGTGTATTGTGTATCCTGTTTGTGCTTTGTTCCTGTGTGTGTAATGTGCTTCTGTGGTGTGATTTCTGGTATTGTGTAGTGTGCAGTTTGTTACGTGTGGTTTTACTTGTCTTTTTAGCTTTACTTTTTTTCTTTTGTACACTTTTGGATTCAATGTCTTTCATTCATTTGGTACCTTGGTGTTGGGTGTTTTACTTCCTATGTTGGCACGCCCCATCTGGGTGGTGCGGCCTTTCTTCCAGTGTGTTCTTGTGTATCATTTTTTCTTTGCTTTTTGTGTTTTAGGTTTCATGTTTTCCATGTTATCCATATTGCCATGTACAGTTGGTTTCTGAGCCTTATTATGTTAATATGTTATATAACAATTTTGTTTATTCATGTATGTGCTTGTGTTGTACTTTGTTTTCGTGTTACTTACCCCGTTTTGTTTTGTTGAGAGGATTTGTTCAATATTGATACTTTGGCACCCTTGTTTTATAATGCAATTATTCTCTTTTTATTAATAAAAAGAAAAAACTAGACCACCGCTAACTTGTAAATGTCAAACAACCGGATTTCTACTGAAATCACAGGACGTCTAGAGGCCCATACTGACGCTAGTCCAGGTTTTACGTATGGCTCAGGAGCACTCGGGTGGAAGGACACAGAGGACCTACCCCTTACTCAACAGTGTAGGTTCACTCTACCCTTCCACCCGAGTGCTTGTGGGCCATATGTAAAACTTTGGACTGGCTTCAGTAGGGGCCTCCAGACTTCACCTGATTTCAATAGAAATCCGGTTGTATGGCTTTTACAAGCCATCGGTGGTCTAGCAGTCGAGTATGCGGCTTGGCAATGACAAGGTCGTAGGTCTGCGCCCACCTCATTGCCATAGTAGATTTTCTCATTGATATATATATCACGTTAATGTGATTTCTGTGTGAATAATTATTATTAATAATAATAATTTTATGCCATCTCCGCTTAAGCAAGAGGAGACATTTATTACTTGTATCTTCTCCAGTACTCTCTACACCAACAAAGACGACAATGTTCAACTTTTGTTCAGAAATGTTCTTCTTTAAAATAGAGCTCACTAGACTGTTACTCAGGAACATGAGAACAAAAATACGATCTGGTATAGGCTGTCATGGTAAGAGCTGGGGTATGTTTACATGCTAAGAGCTGGGGTATGTTTACATGCTAAGAGCTGGGGTATGAGGGCATATGCTAGGAGCTGGGATATGTGAACATCCCAAGAGCTGGGATATAATGGCACGATGAAAGAACAGTGCCTAATTACTTAGAACATCGATAGGGAAAAGGGAAGGGGGAGGATCGAACACAAATCCTGTAAGAAGCCATGCCGCACTAACCAGCTGCTGTATGAATAAGGCACATGCTTTGCAATAAAGGTTTAGCCCTACACGCAAGCATTAAACACCTGTACACACAAGGGCTCCGTGTATAATACTAAGGGATACACTCGCACCGCACGATACTGATGTGTATAAGAGTATACTCACTTGAGGTTGTCCCTGAGGTTGGTTGTGTTGACCAGTTGTATTATTCTGTGGTTCAGCTGAGGTTCAGAGTCCCACTTGTCTCCCACCAGTTTGTCCATCATCCTGAGACAGTGGAATACAGAGCGACCATTAATTTAATTTTTAGTTTAATTTTACCACGAGACGTGAGTTTATTGGGAAGCGCCACTCATCCTGTGGGTGGACACACCGCCACAGTGACAGTATTGGGCAGCGCCACTCATCCTGTGAGTGGACACACCGCCATAGTGACAGTATTGGGCAGCGCCACTCATCCTGTGAGTGGACACACCGCCATAGTGACAGTATTGGGCAGCGCCACTCATCCTTTGATTGAACACACCACCATAGTGACAGTATTGGGCAGTGCCACTTATTCTGTGAGTGGACACACCGCCATAGCAGCATGTACAACACTCCCCAATAGGAAGACACCCCGCTGGGTTGTCCATCCTGTCACTTGTACCCAGACACAGCTCGGTACAAGATTATCCTGATGATAGAGGGACCATTAGTGACGTATATTGCAAATATTTGCCACTAAACTTAATCAGATTCTAATTATAATCTATACTCTTTAGACTGATGTATTACCTAAGAAGCTGTGTAACATATGCTCAGGAATGTATTAAACGTTTATACACCTTAGTTGTGTGAGCAAGACACTTAGCGGCGCTATACAACAAGTATATAAAGTATACTCACTTGACGTTGTCCAGGAACTTCACAGCCAGTCTCTGGTCCACCTGCTGGTCAGTCACGCACTTCGCTACCATTTCGTCCATCATGCTGGCACAATGGTACATAAATCACCCATTAGCCATTAGATTATTATTTTACAGTTATTTGCTTGTTCACAAATCACAATGTAAAACAGACTTGACTCCCATTAGCACTGACTCCTGAGACATCATGACTTGTCCCAAGTGGTCTCAGATGAAGGGAAACTAACTTCCGGTGGCTTTAAATGACCCAGATATAATCAGAATTCTTCCTAGAAAACCTATAACAAATAGTGAATGTTTTCTACACAATCAGAGTGACCCGTACTAACCTGATCATCTTGTTGCCGCCCGTGAAGGCGTCAATGCCAAAGTAACCAATCAGACCACCAATCAGGAGGCCGAGTACCGCCGTGGCAGCCGCCACAACTATATTGTGTGACACCATCTGGCAACAGAAGGACACTAAGAAAATAACATTAAGGAAAAGACTATACAAATATTGTTTTGTTTATATTACTAACGTTATCTCTATATTAAATCTGCACCAGTTTTTCTCCGATTGGAAGATATTAAATAATAAGATAAAGCAAATCAATCTTGCTGCTTAATGAACAGAAATCGAGACACTCGCGAATGAAGTGTTGGTGTGCAGTTTAAACACTAACTGGCTCACTCTAATAGGTCGTCGCTAACGCTAACAGCTGTCTTACCTTGTCAAAGTACCAGAGGGACCGCCTGTGCTCCAGTCATTGCCCAGCGTGCGTAGTGATTGGCTGGTTGCGGGTGGCGTGGTGTGGGCCCCAAGAGCCGGTGTTTCAGCCGGCGTGATGGCGTTGCCTTTGCAAATTGTTCAGCGTGTGGATTCTGCTGGCCTGGAGTTTACGGGGGTGGCGGACTTGCCTCTCATTGAGATGGCTAAACCTTAATTTGTGTATTCGTGTAATTTATGTATCACATGATGGACATTTGTGTATTAGATGTTGAGATATGAGTCTCGCCCTAACCACATACTCAAGAACTTGACAAAGCACTCTTGGAGAGTGTGAAAGACGTGGTGTAAATCTTTACGTAAAATACACAAATACATAAAGTGTGGGGTTTTATCCTGTAAATGTTTATAGTAACAGTTATGATAATAGTGTAAAATACTGGTTGATAACACTGATCACTGCTGTAACTTGCTTAGCCTAATGAATATTGGATGTTCAGTTCCTGAGCACAGCCATTTCCACTACAACTGGAAATGGTAGGGGAAAATGGCTACCATTTCAAGTGGTAGTGGAAATGGTAGGCATTTTCATTACCACTGGAATGAGTATGAGGTTACTATACCAATCACATGATGGGTATGGGGTCCCCACTACTCACGAGATAGGTATGGGGTGCAATCACCACTCACAAAGGGTAGACTTGGGAACCCCCACCACTTACAGGATAGATATGGGGCCCACCACCACTCACAGGATGGTTAAAGAGTAAATACACTACTGTTCAAGGGATGGATATACTGGGCCCACTGCCAATCACATTATAAGTGTATGGATGTCCACAACGTGCTTCTTCATACCATCCTCATAAGTGTTGTGAACGCTCTTGCGCTCTCAAAGCTTCGGAACACTGGGTAAACAAGTTGTTTATAACACCAAGGCGTGGGGGGGGGGGCGTGTTACTGGGGGCATGTATGTTGTATTTGCAGGTAAATTTAAAGTAAATGTATAATACAACTGTCATTCATGCCCCTGTTACCAGCCAACACAATGCAAATAAACTCAATCAAAACAATCTACCAATACAATAGTCAAGTGTTCACATTCACTAAGGAAGACAATCCAACACAACATAACACCCATTTACGGGAATTAAAGTATTTTATTAGTAAACTAGTCTGGATGGAACATGTAAACTAAGCAACATGAAATATTTTGGTTATCCCACAACATGAAGTACATCGCATATACCACAACATGAGGCACATTGGTTATATAACAAGAAACATATTGGTTATACCAAAATATGAGGCACAGTGGAAATATAACAACATGAAGCACATTGGTAATACGACAACGAGTACTGGGAAGATGAGACTCCACAAGCTAGCTCTCATCCCGGTAACTATCCTAAGGTAATTACAACGTTGAGCTTATTCAATTTCTTTATTATGTACCCCATACCCGTCCCGTGGGCGGTTGTGGAAAGGGTTACAAAGGCACATAATGGGTTCAGGAACTGAACCTCATAGTTCGTTTAGCTAAGCAAGTGTTAATCTTTTGAAGCTAGTTACAAAATTGTTAATGTTATATATATATATACATGAACATATATATACAGTCATTTACACAAATACATAGACATACCTTACCTTGAAGTGTTTCCGGGGCTTAGCGTCCCTGCGGTTCGGTCGTCGACCAGGTTTCTTCGTTTCTGGACTGGTCAACCAGGCTGTTTGACGCAGCTGCTCGCAGCCTAACGTATGAATCACAGCCTGGTTGATCAGGTATCCTTTGTAGGTGCTTATCCAGTTCTCTCTTGAACACTGAGTGGGTCGACCAGTTATGCCCCTTATGTGTAGTGGAAGCGTGTTGAACAGTCTCAGGCCTCTGATGTTGATAGAGTTCTCTCTCAGAGTACCTGTTGCACCTTTGCTCTTCAACGGGGGTATTCTGCACATCCTGCCATGCCTCCTGGTCTCATGTGATGTTATTTCTGTGTGCAGGTTTGGGACCAGCCCCTCTCCTATTTTCCATGTATAAATTATTATGTATCTCTCCCGCCTGCGCTCAAGAGAATACAGATTTAGGCTCTTTAGTCGGTCTCAGTAGTTTAGATGTTTTGCTGAGTAGATTCTAGCAGTAAAGAATCTCTGCACGCTCTGCATGGATATCTCTGCATCTGCATATCGATAATCTTTTTATATCACAAGTGATTCAACAAGAGGCTCACAACTGTCACTATACAAGGCACTTTACATCTATGGTGAGTCACACAGTAAGTCGTCTTGCTCCACACCCACCCAACTGGGCGGCAGCTTTACAGTCATGTGCAGGCTGCACCTACAGTAAACAAATTTTGAATACTTGGCTGAGATTCCCGGCAGTACGTCATCATAAATGAAATACTTACACATTTCTTGGACTCAGTGATGGTGCTATCAACTCCGAGAACCAACCAAAGCAATATATTTACCTTTGTTCCGATGGCGAGAGCGACAGTAAACCGGGAGGCGTCACTCCGGGCACACTCCGCCAGGCTTCACTAGGCTATGGGACAGCAGGCGGTGTGATAGAGAGGCTAGCCAGTCTGCGTCCTTGGGGGCCAACTGCCTGAGGCGTGGGGTAGCATTTCTCACAATGGTAAAGAAGGCAAACTCTGCCTTAAACCTCAGTGACGCTATTGTCCTTAAAAACACCTGTTATTATCTACCTACAGATTGTTTCACGTGTTAAGAGAGAGAAAAAAAACGCTGTGTGAAAAACCTGCTTTTCAGATCTGCCAATGCTGCAAGGTCAATACTGTAATGCTGCAAGGTCAATACTGTAATGCTGCAAACTCAATACTGTAATGCTGCTAGGTCAATACTGCAAACTCAATACTGTAATGCTGCAAACTCCATACTGTAATGCTGCAAGGTCAATACTGTAATGCTGCAAACTCAATACTGTAATGCTGCAAGGTCAATACTGTAATGCTGCTAACTCAATACTGGAATGCTGCAAGTACAATACTGTAATGCCACAAGTACAATTCTGTAATCTGCGAAAATCTCAAGTTTGGCTAGATTTTTGTCTTAATAGAATAATTTTTTTGGTCTTAACTTAATTCATGGCAAATCAAATAACGAATATCCTTACCTATTATTTCGAAAATTATTTTTTTTTGGGCAAAACTACATTTAGCAGTTGATAAAAAATGTATTGAAAAAACGCACATTGATTCACACCCTCACTGATCAGCGTATTATACTTATTTAATATATATTTTATATCTTGCTATTATTTATCTTTTCATAATAGGAATATTAATAATAATTACAGACACAAAGAGCATATATTTAGAGTAATGGTCTTGTCAATAGACACATTATGACATTTAGGTGTTGTCTAAGGTTTAAGTACCAGAGAGGGTAAATAAATTAAATATTGTACATGGGAGGATATTATTATTATTTAAAAAATTACAAGTTTCATGTATAAATCTATATGTATATAATATATAATTACATATGAACAATATCATATATTGCATTTTGTTACTAAAAAATCCATCGGCCGCTTTTTCGTGACTCAAGCGGCTAGGATATTAGGGAATATTTGTGTTAATGTTGTCCATGCAGGAGATGTGCTAGAAATGACAGCTGAGAGAAACATTGAGAGACAGAGATACTATAAGGTAAAATTATGGATTAAGTGTGCAGTACTAAGTAAAAGGATTTAGGTCTTCTATGAAAGGATTCTTAAATGAGATACAAATATATATATCCTAGATTTTAGGACATCAATTTAAGAGGTAAGTTGTAAATTGACAGAGAATCTGTCTTAGATACAAGGAGACAAGACTAACAACAAACCCTGAGGTACTCTTGTGTCAACCAGTATCTGGGCCAGGAAGTCATTAAATAAGAATCTTGGCAGTGATTAGACAACACCCAAGATGGCTAAAAAAAAAATTTTTGCTCCTGACTTTTTTATCAATGAAGTGGTCATTAAAAGGCTGTTAATGCTGTCCACGAGAAAGAAATTTAAAGAAAGTACCACAGAATGACAAAGACTGTGACAACAGAACACTGGAATACAGCTACTCTCATCATTCTTGGATTATAGAAAGATTCTTCAAGCTACTACTAGGTTAAACCATACCTGGAGAGGGTTTCCGGGAGTTGTCCTACTCACCGAGCCCGGCCTGATTCCAGGCTCGACTCATCGACAGCGTCCAAGTTAAAGATACATTGCCGACTAAAAAAACTGAAGAGGTGAATAAGAGGAGAGAAAATGACAACAGGAAAATGGTGTTCCTTATATGACATGGAAGTCTTCAAGAAGCTGGTGGCTCTCTGCATCATAATGGTGAGGTCGGAGACGTGCCTCTTAATCTGTTCCTCTCTCTCTTGACGCTCTGTGTCAGTCAACGTCTCCATGTTGTACAGCAGGTCGGTAATGCCTGGGAAGCCGGACGCGTCGTAGCTGTCGAACTGACTTGGGGCGAACACCGCGTGTCTGTGGGAGGTTTGATACATTATTACCTTCATTTGTACTTCAATTAGCAGAGGTCCAGGTGTCAGTGGAACAATTGTAATAGTTGGTTTCTTGGGCTACTTAATAATATTGTAAATTATATACTGTACAAACAACACTAATTTAACTTTGTAAAATAAGCACAGTATATAAGCTTTGTTTAAATACAGATACTGATTATAACTATATTATTACAAGTGTCAGCGTTATAATATATCCATTTTTGAAAACTTAATTCAAGATTGACAATACTTATTACTTTCTAAATCGCGAAACCTTTCATTGTGTATCAATCATTTAGCATTAAAACTGCCCCGTAGAATGTCCTGGACCTATACTGCAGTTCTATTTATTTATAGTTATGTCAGAATTGTGGTTCTACCACCTGGCTAGTAAGTTTATACCAGTATCGTGGCTTAGCACCTAGCTAGTATGGTAATGGTTACATCAGGGCTTAGTACCTAGCTGGTATGGTAATGGTTACATCAGGGCTTAGCACCTAGCTGGTATGGTAATGTTTACATCAGGGCTTAGCACCTAGCTGGTATGGTAATGTCTACATCAGGGCTTAGCACCTAGCTGGTATGGTAATGTCTACATCAGGGCTTAGCACCTAGCTGGTATGGTAATACCAACATACAGTATCATCATTATAGTTAGGCACGTACCTGATTTGTGGTCGTCCAGGCAGACCTGCTGGAAGAATAAACACCTGTTCCAGCTTCATCATCTGGTCGTTGATGGCTCGAGTGGTGATCGGACTGGACGAGAAACACATATTGTATGATTGTAAATACAATAGTTACACAAATATATATACCTAAAGGTGGGCAGGACCGAATTCATAAAAGAATGGAATTTCTGGAACTCTGCCAGTTACGAGGGCAATGACCGTGAAAGTTCTTTTTCCAGACAAGATCGAAATTGGAACCGATGGTCCATTTTAACAATTCCAAACTGTCAGACATTCCTCGGTTCTACTTTTTTTTTAACTCGAAGATGACTGTTAGAATGTTATTTACAAATACAAAATGTCTGTCCAGTATTTACAAATTTGATAAATTAAAAATGCTCGACTTCTTGAAGGTGGAACTGAAGCATTCGACTCATTATTGTATTCTTTCTAGTTTGCTTATATTAATGTTGTATTAGTTGTGTTATTTGGAATATAAATTTAATTGACTAAAATTATATATTAATGATTCACATTATCTTTAATTACATGTATTTAAATTCAATATTTCACTTATATTTGAAGCAAGAACCGACGACCAAGTAAGTAAGTAATTATCAAAAGAAGGCACCAAACCGGGAAGGCTATGTAGCACCATCAAATGCGCAAAATAATCAGAGGGCGCTAAATATCACCAAGGATGCCAATACGAGAACAAAAACGCATAAGGCGAACGATATCAAAAGTATCCGAGTCACCAAGAATTCTATTGAGGGACAGGTGACCGCGACCGACGACCAAGTCAGTCATATAGTTCCCATCACACTGCCAACAGCAGCATCGATCCATTATCAGGCAACGACTGGGACAGTCTTCTTTATGTTCCATGAATGAGTGCTCACTTTTGTATATAACAATGGAACCATAAAAAGTTATTTTTGGTCATTGGTTGACAATAATTATTGACATGGTCATTGGTCACTATTGACACTGACCCATTATTGACATTGGTCATTACTAATTACAGTATCCATTAATTAGCATGTTGCTCACGGGACATGTTCAAGACAAGGGGAAGGGAACTATAGGAATCTTAAAGAGAGAAAGATTTGGAAGAGGATGTAACTCTTACACTCCCACCGGAGGCACACAGACAGGATAACATCGGCAGCATACAGGACGCAGGCATATATGAAAAACATCGTTTAGAAACCTAAATCACGAATCCTTCACGACAATCTACACAGCATTTATTAAACCAATACTGGCATATACAGCTCCTGGAATCATAAGATCAAAACTGAAAAATTAGAAAGATTGGCAACAAAATTGGTGCCAGAGCTATGCGGGTTAGCCTACGAGGATAGGCCAATGGAACTAAATCTCACAATGCTAGAGGACAAGAAGGAACAGAGTGGATATGATCACAACATACAAGATGCTGGAGATGTGGGAATAGATAAGGTGGACAAGGATAGACTCTTCAAATTGAAAGAGGACACAGGTGGGGGCTGGACGCAAATGCGCTGAAGGAATGCAGATAATACTTTTACCCTGTACAGGTAGGCAAGAAGTGGAATACGCTGAAAGAAGTTGTGGAAGCCACCTCTTTCCACAACTTTTATAATTATTAAGCCCACATTCGATAAGGAATTTAAACGTCAGAATAGTTAAATTATAACGCAACATAATACAACAAGGCTGGTAGGCGGGGCATGAAGAGCTAAACCTAATTCCTCCATAGACACTGTTAGGTAAGTACAGGAAAATTTGAGAAGCATTTTTTTAACACTGAGTGTGATTGTTTATATTAATCATCCTATAAGACAAGGTTCTCTCTATTTACGTTAGACATTCTTTACAGATAAATGGAATCACATTATGGTAGAATGCAGGAAATGTGTGTGTAAGAACCATTCTGTCTCCAGCCATCCCGTTTATGCTTTGCCGCCTACCCCCCCCCCCCCCCGGTGTTGGAAATAACCAACAGTTTTATACATCTTTGTATTAACCACAAGTAGTTACTAAAATTACTAACTTGTAGATTTGATCATTATCATGATTTATTTAGACATATTGCCAGATTCTTCCTAGTCAGAGTGACGACGTGAGGAACGACAGGCAGTAACATGAATTCTCTCCACATTTAGTTGGATTTATAACAAGAGTCCAGTTTATCATTTCCTTTACTAAAAATAGTTACTTACTAATAAGTTTAATTTCGTAGTATACTGCTAATCACTGGAACTCCCTTATTTAGTTGATATTAAACATTCTAGAGGAAATTACTTTAATGTAAATGATTTTACTTTAATTTCCTCGATTAGTTGCACAACTTTAATAAATCAATTTATGTTACACGAAATTCTAATTTAT